CTTCACTGTGCATAGTTCGAAACTCCCCCCCCCTCCCCCCCCCTCACACACACACACACACACACACACACACACACACACACACACACACACACACACACACACACACACACACACACACACAATGGTTGCCTCTTTGCTTTGTCATCCCACAACCATTCAATGGTGAACCCCTCAATAGTCGATTTGCCTTTGGGTCATCCTAATAAAGTTATTACCGTAAAGTCGCGGATAAAAGTCGGACTTATAAGCACATAAGCCGCTTTCTGCATCAGGCTTAAATGCAAACCAGGCTTAAATGCAAACCAGGCTTGTATGCAAACCATGCTTATATGCACTACTGATATTTTTGCCAGGCTTGTATGCACATCGGCCGATCCGGGCTTGCATTGAAGCCAGGCTTCTACACGCAACACGCGTAGATCTACCACTGACTACCGGTATGGCGGCAGTTTTACTATGCACTGTACATAGCGCATGCACTCTTGACCTACCCGATCTGCGCTTGCATAGAAGCCAGGCTTCTACGCGCGACAGGCTTATATGCATTTGACCCCTTTGATTTTCAGGCTTCTATCCGCGATGTGTTTGTATGCAAACCCGGCTTTTATCCGCGACTTCACGGTATACTAGTTACTGAAGTCCCATTTGAAAGCCTTTCTACTGCTATATAAAGGTTTTGTCAGACCCGTCCTGGAACACGCCACCTCGGCCTGGTCCTATGCCATCACCAAAGCTGAGCTGGAGAGTTTAATAAATATTTTACAAGCCAGAGTAGCTAGGAAGTATTTGCTACCTAAAAAAGGCCAAAGTAGATAGATGCGAAACGAAATCCCAGTTAAATGCCTTTGGTGACTTAGAGTCCTTGCACTTTCGCAGACAAGTATCCACTCTTGTTACTCTATTTAAACTTATACATATATTCCCAGAACACCTCCAACATTTTCACCTTTCACTGTCTTCAAGTCCAAGAAGACCAAACAAACTAAACATCAATTAGCACGGTGTGCGTTTTTCTTCTCTCTTTTCCAACAAAGCTGCAATGCTATGGAATTGCCTACCGCCTTCTCTTACCTCCATAACCAGCCTCCCCGAATTCAAGCATTCTCTCTATCAGTATTTTCGCCGATACAGTCAGACCTCGCATAACCGCACACATCTGTTTTCCACAAAAATATCCGGATAGGCGAGGGAACCGGATAATCGAACACACATACTGTATGTGTGCAGGGCATATGCTGTAAATCGGTGACCAACAATTTTCTTCCGGATGGCGAGGGATCCGGATAAACGAGGACCGGATAAGCGAGGTCTGACTGTATATTCAATACACTGACAGTATCCCAACTCCTTAATTACCAGATTTTGTATGCCTTGATCTATTTCCTTAGCCTATCCTCGATTAACTGCTCCCTCTACATAAAGTTGTCATTTCATTCTTCTTGCAGGAGATCCCCTCGACAGGCCCAAAGCCTTTGGGAAATTCTTAAATATAATAAAATACAAAATACAAAATATATAGCCCAGAATCTGCGAAAACCAGGCTTAGGGTGAAAATCATTTTTTTGATAAAATTGATGTTTTGTAAAAAGGTTGTGTCGCGTGGAATACGACCGAGTGCAGTTAAGTGGAACCAAAGAGAATCTCGCTTGTTTGAAGAAGTAGCAGTCATGGCAGGAAGGGTTTCAGCAGTCAGGGAAGTCAAAGGGCTTCCGGTAGAATATTCCCTGCTAGCATGCTACTCCTCTAGTCACAACGAAGAGTTTTTGAGCTGATCGAACGGATTCCATCTCCTACACTCAGGGATGGCGAAATTTCTGCGCTAGCTGCTGCTTGCGGAAAATGGTGAAGAAATCGTCTCCAGTTAGAGTCGTGATGGCGATAGCGAGGAGAACCTGGACAACATCGATCCAGCCAATCAAAGTACGGAGATACTAGCTGTTTCTGGGCCTCACGCAAAAGGAACACGCGCAGCAGAACTCATACATTTGCAGCAAGTTCACGAGGAAAAAGGCTTGAAGAGCAGTGTGAAAACTGTTTTGAATTGAAGTCCTTGGCGATGAAGTGCTACTGAAGGCCAGGCGAATGAGCGAGCAGAGCGAGAGGCTCCCACTTGAGACTTTCCTCGCGGGACAGCTAGCTGCAAGGGATTGTACAGCGTGTCGATATTTCACTTGCTGGTCAGCACCAAGCAGATACTGCAGCACACCAACGCACTATGCGCTTACTATGAACAGTGGAACAGTTTGAAAGGCTGTGTTCTTGCTTGTTTCTGAACAGTTGTACTAGATTCACCCTTGAAAAGGTACCATCTCAACTGGAGTCGGGTTTCCTTGTGGTGTGTAGCGTCAGAGCATGCCAGTACATGTATTCAGCCTCAGAATGTGCTGAGCGAGGAGCAAAGAAAATTCATGCAGAACTGTGCATGGCCACTACAGCCTGCAGCACCAAGGGGCCACAACAAGCCTTCCCCCACATGCCTACCTTGTTATGTCACCTAAACAAAATCGTCCATGTCTCTTCCTTCAGTCTGGTGCATTTCTCTTCATTTCACAGCATAGCAACAATTTCAAAAATTCAAAAACTGGATCCACTTGGATCCAGTTTTTGTATGGATCCAAGCACATTTCAAGCTGTCTTACCCACAGCATGGTGATGTAGCCAGTGAAACTGACTGATTTGGCTACTGGGGGCGGGGTTACAACTGGTGGCGAAATAAAAGTCACACCTGGATGCGACATGAGTGGGTTGCTATGCACCCACATACTTAGGCAATAGCAAAGTCACACCTTAGTGGATCCAAAATAGAAATCTGATGTCAACTTACTACTCCCTGGCCGTTTTGACGTCATCACTTTCAAGCCCTGTACCCTGGTGTGTTTGAGATACTTTTAATACTACTATGAGTCGACCCACATCTGTAATATTTTGTTTCCTGACCTCCCATGGTCAGTAGAAGCTGAAAATGGGAAAAGTCATTTTGTGAAATTTCACTCAAGCCTGGTTTTCGCAGATTCTGGGCCATATGTGAACCCATATTTTTGTATAGTATGACATGAATATCAAAATGAAGCTCTTTTCATGCTCTATGTCAATGTGTACATTATTTTCATATTGCAATTTAATGGATAAAGTCAATATATATAAAGGAAAGAAATAGAAAAATTAGCCTTTTAGAGCCATCTACAGGGACATGTACACGTACAGTCAACCGTTTGCGTTTTACCACCCTCGGCGGGGCATCAGAAAAGTGTTCGTATTGGCGAAGTACCCTTATACCCGAAGTTTTATTCCCGTAGCTATGCAGAAGACGTTACTTCAGTAACGTCTGGCGCTAGCCAGGGTCCACACAGCTTTAATTTCAGCATAGCGCAGGGCCCTGAGCTTCCAAGCTCTCTCGTTTGGTGTTTGTTTGTGTGTTTGTTTGTTTGTGTCACGGCTGGAGCTATCCCGTATCTGTCCCGTATCTGTCCCGTAACTGTGACTACAAAGGCTCTACAGGATTGTACATAACAGCTGTCCACAATATTTGCGGGCTCCTGTATCTGTCCCGTACCGTACCAATATTCGTCGTATTATGTATACGACTCCCCTGATGTAGAGGGAGATTTGGAAAGAAATAGGGAGACGAGGAGGAAATTAAATTAGAATAGACGCCGAATAGGTGATAGGATGCGTCAGCATAAACATACTTTGGAAGAGAGATCCCGTCGTCTCCAAAATAAGCGTGAACGAGCGATTCAGCGCCGGTCACAGGAAACGTCGGAAGAGAGATCCCGTCGACTCCAGAACGCCCGTGATCGGCAGAGTCCGCCGGTCCCAGGCAACATCAGGACAGACATCTCGTTGAGTCCAGAACGCCCGTGATCGGCAGAGTCTAAGCCGGTCCCAGGAAACGTCAGGACAGACATCCTGTCGAGTCCAGAACGCCCGTGATCGGCAGAGTCAGCGCCGGTCCCAGTAAACGTCAGGACAGACATCCCGTCGACGCGCAGAAAAACTAAATCTGCAGCCTCCTTTGGCGTCGGACAGGATACGTATTTAAGGAGACTGTAAAGTTATGTAATGTCCAACTTTCGACGTGAGCAGCAGGTCACTCGCGTTGATTTTTCGACGTGCGAGCCAAATAACGCGAGCTGAACTTTCGCGTCGCAATCATCCCGTCGACGCGCAGAAAAACTAAATCTGCAGCCTCTTTTGCCGTCGGACAGGATACGTATTTTAGGAGACTGTAAAGTTATGTAATGTGCTCCACAGGCAACCATGCATTCGGCGTCGTCATTGGCTCAACAGGTCAATGTACATGTGTTACTACAAAAAGGCCAGAAAATCCGATTACTGTATTAAAATCAACTAATTTTCGCTGGCGATTTAATTTCGCTGATTTCGCCGCTTGGTACCAACCGGCCAAAGTAAATCGCAGGCCAAAGTTTGTCATAATTATGGGCAAATGATGCATGATTGAGCAATGGATGCATGTGAGAGCAAAAATACCGATCGATTTCAAATTTGACGTGAAATGTGGAAACGTTTTTGCAATACAGTGATGTGGCCAATCAACGGAAAAAGACATTTCCATCAGTTCTTAAAACATGTACGATGAGCTAGGCAAAAAAGCATAAAAGCATAGTGTAGGGCCCTGAGCTTCCAAGCTCTCTCGTTACCGGTATATGTATTCCAGTTAGATTGGACTTTGCTCTGGGCATGGAAATTCTGTAGCAAAATAAAAAGAAAGAAAAAGCACCCCCCCCCCTCTTGGCTGCATATTCTTGCATGTGTGCCTTTATCCAGCAGTATGGATATCAGATGGAGTGCTATTCCATCTGTCTGCAGACAAACAGGCAACAGAAAACAGGCCGTAGTGTATTACTGATTTTGGATGAAGTGAGGGTGACAATCGAACAATTGCCTCTGGAGCAAGCTTCTAGAAAGCTGTTTCTAGTCAAAATTTCAAAAAGTTACGGTCAAACCATTGCCTCTTCATGTTGTTGTTGCTGCAGGGGTGTTCTCAGCTACTACGCATCTTCCTTTTCCTTGGTTTGATCAGTCAAGGATTATCAACACTAACCAGGACAACTATTCCGCCAACTCAGGCATGGTGTCAATGTCGAACAGGACTTAATAATGTTTGTGAGTTCCTTAGCCCTTTCCCAGCCAAGCCTTGAACCGGGGTGCTGGCCACGTCATGGTGAACGCAAATTCACTATGGACTCACCTGCATGCTCAGGTTCAAAACTAAAAAATCCATTTTATTGTCTCTTCCCACTGAGGGATTTTCACGACCTATACCTTGTTGAAAAGATCTGGATCTGATGAAGGCACCACAATAGTTTCCAGGTCAAGAGACATGCCAGGAAGACTGCTATAGTCTCTCCTAGTCCCCCTACCATGCCTCAAAATTGCAAAACAACAACATCTCGCATTTTCTATCGTCTCCTTGCTCACACTCTACACACACACACACACACACACTCAAAGGAATTTTTACGAATCAAACTGTAAAGGAAATCTAAGATTCAAGCGCTTCTTTTGATACTCAATACACATGCGTTGCTCTCAAGGGAAATCCCCAGCATGCAAGAAGTGACGATCGCCGGCAGGTGAAATTTTGATTCCAGCTGTTCACACCGTCGACGCTCAGCCATACATTGGCATATCACGAAGATCGTTGCATCAGTGGAACGCTGAGTCCAATACCTTTCCAACGATTCATCATTCGGTTCTGTAGAGTTACGGGAACGAGCTTGCCAGCTCGAATGCCTTTCTTCTAAATGAAACTGCAATAACCAATGCTGAGAACTACTGATCTAAATTAGAAACAACTAAAGATTGAACAAATTCTTCCTTTCCTTACACAAGACCTTTTAGGTTGGTCTAGTTTCACCTATTGGCATTTTGAGTATTGAATTGGTGTTACTCTTTGATTGCCAGTAAAATCCTTCTGTCAAAACCGAATCGCGTAAACGCAGATCAGACTTTCTTTATCGCAGCACTTCCTGCATTGTTTTTGAGTGTTTTCAAGTGATTCTCAAGACGTTAGTGTGCTTTTCAAATCTTCATTTCCATCTACAATGTAGTTGCTGAGGCCGGCGAGGGTTAGTTCATGACATTAGAGAGGTTAAGATGCACGTTATTTCCGACGTGACGCGCAGTTTCACGTCAAATTTGGCGTAAAACTCCCAATTTCGACGTGAGCGGCAGGTCGCTCGCGTTGATTTTTCGACGTGTGAGCAAATAACGCGAGCTGAACTTTCGCGTCACGTCGGAAATAACGTGCATCTTAACCTCTCTATTGTACTGATTGATTGATTTTGGATTCGCGAGGCATGGAGCTGATGCGAGCTCGTGCATGGCTGAGGTTGCGCTGACTAGTTGGCGACAGCTAGCCTAGCTGGACGATGTGTTTCAACAAAGGAACTGCCACCCCAACACAGGCAACGCAACGGCTTCCCATCGACTCCCATTCCCCCAGCACCACTGACAAAGGACATAGGAGCAGAAACAGAACACTTCTCGATCTCAGGAAAATAATTAATTCACCATCCACGGCCACCTGGATATCGATTCCCCACATTTTTGTATTTTCCCGCGAGCACAGATTTTGACGCAAACGCTGAAAATCACAAGTATAGTATGATATCACGTCTTGCGTTTTCCAGTCTCCAACGCAACTCAAACAAACGCAGTGTAATAACGGCCTTAAGGGCCATTCACACTACGCCCAAAACGTGGCGTACGTGACGTTTTCGTCCGGATAGCCATGACAACATGGAACGTGGCGGAAAATCGTACTCCTGATACGAAAACGTAGACGACGTATCCAGACCCCTGTGCCGAGTTTCGTTCTGTCGTTCCCAGCAGTTTGTGTCCAGAAGAACGAGTAGCGTGTGCGTGCCTGTGTGAATGCACCTGCATGAAAACAACGTCTGCCAGCACGTCGTATTCCAGAACGTGACGCGTATTGTAACGTAGTATGAATAGGCTATAAGAACGAAACGGCGTTTTAGTGACTTTTTCTCTACAAATCCCTATCTAGTAGGGCGCAGTCACCCAGTTTCGGTGGAAGTGCGCGAGTTCGAATGGGAATAAAGAAGGAAGGGAGCGTCTCAGCGTCCCCGGGCCAAGACCATTCCAATCAGCACCCCGGAGACTACAACTGGTGAAAATTTAATTTCAGGGTTTACTTCACCTTTAAAGGGGAACTGTCACCAACAATTTTCTTTGTCTTATCTTGTAGTTCCTTGGCTCCTGATCATGATGGTGTTATCCGTTTTTCTCTGTGATGGCTGGAAGTGGGTGAAAACTTGAAAAGAAGGTGCCCAAAATTGTCCCGAAGTACCGAGTGACGTCACGCCGGACTTGACCTCCACGCGTTCATTTGTCGTCAAAAACGAAGTTCAGCCCGTGTTCTGGTCGATCGAGCTAGCTGTTCCGATGTACGGCGCACGTGTGCCTTTTGAACTCTAACACATTATGGGTACGTCGTACAGAAGGAGAATGCCAAAGAGGCTGAGACCCACGTGCAGTTACACAGCCAAATCAAAATAAAAAGCAGCTGAGCTTTCACCTTTTTGACTTCTTCCGCGAGGATCTTAGTTTTATTTCGTGAGCACGGAAGTACGTCGTTGTTTTGAACTTTTCGTGTGAGGAACAACACGATGATGAGCGCGTATGCAGAAAACAGTACTCCTCCGGCCGGCGATACCACCAACCCGAGCCCCAAAGGAACGCAATGTAGCTGCGTGAAGGCGATTCATCTGGCGATGTTGCTGAAGATGCAGATGCCAAACTCCGACGTCTTTCATTTCAGAGCCGCGTGGGCAACACCGCCACCTTCGATACAACGACATCATTTTCAAGTACGAGGTATGTGTGTCACACTAACAGCAAAAAAAAATCTTTCCACTCCTTCGTAATTACCGTAAAGTACCGCCAGAGCGCCTCGTCTCGCGAGAGCGCCCCACCTTGATTTTAGAGCCTGAGAAAGGAAAATCGTATGGCAGAGTGCAACGAAGTTTGTACGATGTGAGAATCTTAGTGTACTAAGGTCACGCTCGGCAGGGTTTTGTGTGGAACTTGTGTCCGCTCGAAGGTACGGATTGACTGCAAAACGTGCAATATGTGTACAAGGTTCATGTCGTATGACCTACAGACAGCAGACCACCTCCACAATACGACCACGAAAGGATGAGATGGTGGGGCGCTCTGGCGGTACTTTACGGTACAAATAAAACAAAGAGCTGGAGCTTCGTGGAGGAAGTACCAGTGCGATAAACTGCTGTCGACTTTTGTTTGTTTTGTCCCTTTTTGGCGTTCTCATTGTGTACAACGTACACATCAGTACCCGAGTTCAGAATGCAAGCGTGCACTGTACATCGAACAGTTGGCTCGATCGACCAGCACACGGGCTGGACTTCGTTTTTGACGATGAATGTACGCGTGCAGGTCAAGTCCGGCGTGACGTCACTCGGTACTTCGGGACAATTTTGGGGACTTTCTTTTCCAGTTTTCACCCACTTCCAATCATCGCAGAGAAAAACGAATAACACCATGGTGATCAGGAGCCAAAGAACTACAAGATAAGACAGCGACACACGGTTCACAATTTTCTTCATGTTTGCCACATCCTCATGCACAAGTAGTACTATGCACGTGCACTGCACGTGCACCCAGGGTCGAAACTGTACTCCATTTGTGCATGTCGCGTGTCGCATGTCGCAAAAGTTGAACTTTCTTCAACTACTGCGACAGGTGCATTGCGACAGCTTGCGACAGCTCGCGACAGGCAGTTTCTTGTCGCAACTGTCGCAAATCGCGTGTCGCGTCGCAGAAAGTTGTATTATGAATCGGCCTTTAAAGGGGAGAATGGGTAGTATTCCAAGAGGTATTTTGATTTTCTCCGATGAACATGGATTCCTGGACTGCCGGTGCCTCTAGAGCATAGATTTTTGGAGCTGTGGTTCGAGGCCAAGACAAGGTAACAAACACACAACTGAAATTCATGAAAAAAGGTACGAAGAAGAGAGTGGATTGCGACGGAGTTGAAGAAAAGGAACCGGCGGAGCAGAAAGCCCAACGTCAGGAAACACCACCCGAGTCAATGCGTTCATGCACGCTGAGCAAATAAAAAGAGCACGACGTCGCAATTCAGGACCCAGGCTTCCTTTGCTTCTTCATAAAAACTGAACACTACAAAAAGTACAGTAAATAATAATTGTTGATCACCACCATCCTGCTTTCCGACTTCTTGTGGATGTGTGTGTGTAGGTGTTTCGAGTGATTCAAAATTTGGCGGGCAAGAAAACAAGCCATTCAAGCTTTACACTTTACACTCAACATTTCGTCTGGTGTGATTGCTTGACAGGGAGTACGCAAGCCTGCTGAACGCCAGCGATCACAAGCCCAAAGTGGCTTGTTTCGGTGTGACCGCGGCCTTAGTGCAAATAGGTCACTTCTGATGCCTTCAAATGGACCACAGTCGCGCACCTACAGTCCATTCATCAAAAACCAGCCCGCTGGCTTTTGAAAGTCGGATTTGGGCCGAATTGAGGATCAAAAACCCACTTTAAATCTAAAAAATCTGGGTTTTGGATCTGATTCTCCATACATTTTGCCATGGCATACCTGTCCCAATTTTGTAAAACCTGGCTGAATTTCTATTTCCCTGTTCTTGGACTTTTCTGGCCTCAAATGTGGCAACGAGTAATTGGCCGAGTCACACAATGCAGGATGTCCTGTTGTTTTCACGATATCTACAACTATATGACAGAGACACCAACAAGTTAGGGTGCCAGTTTCCAATGAATGGACTGTAGCAAAACAAAGCAGTGGCTATCAAGTAGACACTCTATGAGATTTTATAAGCAACACCAGATACCGCTTATAATGGTGGTGCAAACTGTGTGCTGATTTGATTTGTGTCATTTACAGTTAAAGCCTGCAAGTTTTATGTAGACCCAATCTGCTCAACACGTGTTATTTATACCGATGGCACCGGACGTTGGATATCAACTTTCAAAGCGAAGGAAAGACTCGGGTACCGTTTGTCTTACACAGCTTCTCCCTACAATTTGGTTGGTGTGATGGAGAGAATCCTCACATCCAAGAGCTATACCTTTGGATATCCGGGAGCGTACGCTCAATACACAGGTAAATCACTGTGAGAATAGGACTTGCTAGAATAGGACTTGCTAGAATAGGACTTGCTAGAATAGGACTTGCTAGAATAGGACTTGCTAGAATAGGACTTGCTAGAATAGGACTTGCTAGAATAGGACTTGCTAGAATAGGACTTGCTAGAATAGGACTTGCTAGAATAGGACTTGCTAGAATAGGACTTGCTAGAATAGGACTTGCTAGAATAGGACTTGCTAGAATAGGACTTGCTAGAATAGGACTTGCTAGAATAGGACTTGCTAGAATAGGACTTGCTAGAATAGGACTTGCTAGAATAGGACTTGCTAGAATAGGACTTGCTAGAATAGGACTTGCTAGAATAGGACTTGCTAGAATAGGACTTGCTAGAATAGGACTTGCTAGAATTGGACTTGCTAGAATTGGACTTGCTAGAATAGGACTTGCTAGAATAGGACTTGCTAGAATAGGACTTGCTAGAATAGGACTTGCTAGAATAGGACTTGCTAGAATAGGACTTGCTAGAATAGGACTTGCTAGAATAGGACTTGCTAGAATAGGACTTGCTAGAATAGGACTTGCTAGAATAGGACTTGCTAGAATAGGACTTGCTAGAATAGGACTTGCTAGAATAGGACTTGCTAGAATAGGACTTGCTAGAATAGGACTTGCTAGAATAGGACTTGCTAGAATAGGACTTGCTAGAATAGGACTTGCTAGAATAGGACTTGCTAGAATAGGACTTGCTAGAATAGGACTTGCTAGAATAGGACTTGCTAGAATAGGACTTGCTAGAATAGGACTTGCTAGAATAGGACTTGCTAGAATAGGACTTGCTAGAATAGGACTTGCTAGAATAGGACTTGCTAGAATAGGACTTGCTAGAATAGGACTTGCTAGAATAGGACTTGCTAGAATAGGACTTGCTAGAATAGGACTTGCTAGAATAGGACTTGCTAGAATAGGACTTGCTAGAATAGGACTTGCTAGAATAGGACTTGCTAGAATAGGACTTGCTAGAATAGGACTTGCTAGAATAGGACTTGCTAGAATAGGACTTGCTAGAATAGGACTTGCTAGAATAGGACTTGCTAGAATAGGACTTGCTAGAATAGGACTTGCTAGAATAGGACTTGCTAGAATAGGACTTGCTAGAATAGGACTTGCTAGAATAGGACTTGCTAGAATAGGACTTGCTAGAATAGGACTTGCTAGAATAGGACTTGCTAGAATAGGACTTGCTAGAATAGGACTTGCTAGAATAGGACTTGCTAGAATAGGACTTGCTAGAATAGGACTTGCTAGAATAGGACTTGCTAGAATAGGACTTGCTAGAATAGGACTTGCTAGAATAGGACTTGCTAGAATAGGACTTGCTAGAATAGGACTTGCTAGAATAGGACTTGCTAGAATAGGACTTGCTAGAATAGGACTTGCTAGAATAGGACTTGCTAGAATAGGACTTGCTAGAATAGGACTTGCTAGAATAGGACTTGCTAGAATAGGACTTGCTAGAATAGGACTTGCTAGAATAGGACTTGCTAGAATAGGACTTGCTAGAATAGGACTTGCTAGAATAGGACTTGCTAGAATAGGACTTGCTAGAATAGGACTTGCTAGAATAGGACTTGCTAGAATAGGACTTGCTAGAATAGGACTTGCTAGAATAGGACTTGCTAGAATAGGACTTGCTAGAATAGGACTTGCCATCCTACATGACTGTAGTACTACCTCCGGAAACAAAAACTTCGTGTTTTTCACTGCTGTTGTTTAGCACTCTCTCTCTCTCTGTCTCTCTCTCTCTCTCTTTCTCTCTTTCTCTCTCTCTCTCTCTCTCTCTCTCTCTCTCTCTCTCTCTTTCTCTCTTTCTCTCTTTTTCTCTTTCTCTCTCTGTCTTTCTCTATCTCTCTGGTTCTGTCAGCCTGAAACACTGACATGACATTTCGGAATCGTAGGAAAGCATAATTCATACTTTGATTTTGGCGAGCCGACAGTCGTCGCAGAGCAAGGGTGGCGACGCTGCAAACAAAGTAGAGTAGAATATTGGTTACAACGTGCCCTTCTGATTTTTCACATTTTATCACTATAACCGGTATATCACTACAGGCGATTTTCAACTGTGCGCATCATACGTACACATTATACACGTGTGGGTACTCGATCGCGCTAATGTAGCATACTGATACATGATGCATGCTACTGCACCTTCCCCAGCCTAGGGTGAAGAACTTCTTGGCCCAAAGGCATCATCCAGGAAGCATCAGACCAGAATACACTATGACAATACATGTGGCTCCAAGTCGAGACATCAATGTCCCACACTCGTGCGTAGCTATCACTAAAGACGATAATGTTTCTGCACAAAGAGGTGTTTTGAATGGTGATTCTGTATCCTTATAGCCGATTTATTGCTATATACAATATACTGGTTATAATGATAATTTGACTGGCTTTTTCTGGTTTTGCTTTTGATATTTTCATTTTGTATCAATAAAGCCGGTTTATCACTATGTCCGATGACTTTATAACTGATATCCACTGTACAGCGAACATGTTTTTCATTTTTCGTCCATCAGGCGCAATCGGAAGAAAAGCACTGCGCTCACTGCTCGTTGTAGCTATTTTTTTTAGTGCAGAACTTGACAGAGCAGGGCAATGGCCCCCAGGAGCAAGAAGAGTGGAAAATGAATAGCAATAGCAGCTAGCGTTTTGAAATCTTTGTCATCCCCGAAACGCCTGTCTTCATGCGAACAGGTCGGCAAGATGTCAAAACTCCAAAACGCAGAGATGTGACAATCGTCACTTCGCGCAGCAGCGCAAGATGAACAAGTTAAAAATAGAAGTCGTTCAGCCACTGCAGAGCCCAGACCTCTAGGTGGATGATCTCGCCTTTTTCACCAGCCTCGTTGATGTGTCCTTGGTCGCAAAGGAGAAGGCGAGATCTGGTCGAACAAACCGTTCCAGTGACGACTTGTGTATACACAGATGATTGAAATATTTTATTCTCACGATGGTTTGTGGCCATGATTGTACTATTCATTGCGATTCTTAGTCTCATTGGGCTGTTCATGTTTCTGTGTTTTGTTTTTACATGTATTTATGTGTTTTTCTTCACGTCTTGATGGATGTCAATAACTTACCAATACTTGATAGAGATCCGGAATTATTGCTCAATGCCAAACAAAATTAGCAATGGAAACATAACCGTGTTTGGTAGTGCACTGGCGGTTTTATATTATGGTAAACTAACAATTGACAGTTTGGCATATGTTACCTGTCAGCAAGGGTATCTTCCACCGAATCTTGATCCAATGAAATGTGTTGGAGGCAATGCTACGCATGGCAAGTGGAATCAGCAACTACGGTGCGACCGTGAGTGACACTTTTTTTTAAAAATGTTCTGTATTGGTAATGAATATAGTGGTAGCAACATTGGCGATAAGTTTATAGGAAAGTGCTTGCTCCTCACACTGGAGCTCATGCATACTTGGTGATATTTAGCCCGGAAAGCACTATATAAGTGGTGCTCTTCAGGGACAATCTCCTCCCGCCTTCTCAAGCTCAACTGATGAGTGGTGAATTCCCCCAAACATTGTGTATTGAGCAGAGAGAGGAATTTTCTTGCTGGCTTGCCGAGTTTAACGTTTTTGGGACTCCTCGAGTCCTCTGCACAGCAGTCATGAGTCAGTGAAGTAAAGTCATGTCAGTAGAAAAGCCTGAGCTCCTGTGTGTTGAAAACACTGGGGTATTATTATTAGTGCACTGGGGTATTATTATTAGTGCACTGGGGTATTATTATTAGTGCACTGGGGTATTATTATTAGTGCACTGGGGTATTATTATTTGTGCACTGGGGTATTGTTATTTGTGCACTGGGGTATTATTATTAGTGCACTGGGGTATTATTATTAGTGCACTGGGGTATTATTATTAGTGCACTGGGGTATTATTATTAGTGCACTGGGGTATTATTATTAGTGCACTGGGGTATTATTATTAGTGCACTGGGGTATTATTATTAGTGCACTGGGGTATTAATATTAGTGCACTGGGGTATTATTAGTGTTGTGGTGAATGTCAGTTTACTGTCAATTCTTTATAGCTCAAATACACCAAACCCGGTAGACAGCCTTAAGTGGCCTGATTGAGATGCTGATACGTCTGTGTCTTGTTTTGCTTGCTTTCATGCATCTTTTCCGGTGTGTCTCAATACTTGATAGCCATCGTGGATTATTGCCCAAGTACGATCACTGTAAGCAATGGAAAAGTAACAGTGTACCATGGATCCATTGACCGTCTTGCATGGGTGACCTGCGAGTATGGATACCAACCACAGAAAAACTCACCAATGACATGCGCTGTGCACAATGCTACGCACGGCCAGTGGGAAAATCTGCTGGAGTGCAAACGTGAGTGAAAGAATTTGTTTTACTGTGTGTAAAAACAAAATTGGGGTATTCGTATCCGGACCCCCCTTTGTCCAGTCCTCTGCCTCAACCTGGCAACTTGCAGGCAGATATTGAGCCTTTGCATATTGATGGGCCAGAACACACGGCTGATTGAATGCCACCAGATTACAATATGGGGTCGTTCAGCGAGGTTTTCCCAGGCCATTTTGTAAACAAGCGTATCCATACAGTTTGCCCCAACTACTTAAACCCGCTATGCCCTTAACTAGATAAACGTCCATCGGGATCAATTTGGAACAAAAAAGTAATAACACATACGCACACACAAACACATGCACACACACACACACACACACACACACACACACACACACACACACACACACACACACACACACACATGCGCCACCACATATTTCTCCTGGCATAAATACCAGCACGGACAATAGCATCCTCAAGCTGCCATAATCAGAGTAGTCCAGTCTGGCCACTTACGTCTCCATGTCTTGTTTCTTTTGTGTGTCTCTTCCGGGCCGGTGTCATGTTCGATGTCAATCCTTTACCAATACTTAATAGCTCAACCTAATTATTGCCCAAGTACGATCCAAATATACAATGGAAATGTAGCTAAGATGGGAAGCAGCATTGTGGATGTGGCAACCATCACGTGTAAAGCAGGTTTTCTTGCAGAGCCTAAGGACAAAGTAGCATGCCTCGGACACAATCGTACGCACGGCAAGTGGGAGCGTGTACAATGCAGACGTGAGTGACAGATTTTGTTTACTTTGTGTTAACTTTGGAGAGCATGTCTCAGAATACCAAAGTATGCAAGTAGATCTCTCCGATTTGGCTCACCATTTGCAGGTGGGTTCCCTCTAGGGTGTAGATCGACTGTGCAAAGCCGTTGAAAAAGGTTTCTGAAGGGAACCTTCAAACTGGCATACCCCTCAAAAATGCCCGAAAAATCATATTGTCTATTAGGCCATCATTTTTTATATCTATGTTTCGCGTCAGTTCAACTTCCAGAATCATATGCGAGAGATGGAAAAGAAATATAAAATTGCAAAATAATAAAAAAGCTCATCAGAGATGTATAGAATTAGCTAGAACTGTACATACATGTAGCACAACAGCTCGTTCATGTTGTACATTCGAAAGAAAAGTTGTGCATCGAAGGACAAAGTTTGGGTTTTTGAGCATGAGCAAATATTCACTTTAGACAGAGGAGGTGCCCATACTTCGCTGGATTATTGTACTCAGACTTCAGCAGCGGTGCAAAGAGCTCCGGAACGGCGCATCCTCTCAGCTTGAGGCAATCGATGCGGTCTGATGTAAGCTCATAGAATACTGCTCGCAGATGCCGAACAGACAATTTACCAACGCTGGCCTCGACTCGAGGCCATTTGTGAATCCCAGCTTCGCCGTATGCAACCAGTTCACACTGATGACTCGCGCGATCGTACACTCAATATGCAATGTGCATATTCGCTTTTTTTCCCCGAAATAAATCAAAACGTATGCGTGCGGACGACGCAAAACATAGATATAAAAAATGGTGGCCTTATGGGTCTACAAACGAGCCACGCCATAGCGTACTCGAACAAGCTACGAACAAAACTCCATCAAGCCAACATTGCCTCACCTTAGAAGAGTTCCTGGGACAGTACCGCTTAACTATGCCAGCATCCCAGAATTTACAGAATATTTGGCACAACCGTTGATGCAAAAGTGACGGAAGTCCGGAGCGCAGTTTTTGAATTTTACTGCAAGAGGCTGGTTGAAATCACATGCACCATGACGTACACGTCGAATGACGGTTATAAAGGATGAACGCAACTATAGAACCAAGCAGAAGGTGAAACAGGAAAAGAACCGGCATTGGCAAGGTGTGAGCAAACTACCTGCATGACAATATCAAAGGCGATAACAATAAGAAGGTGACAACTATTGCAGTTGTAGTGTGAACTTTTACACCATCCATCTCTGGGTAGGTATTGAATAGTTTTGAGCAGTCAAAGTTGCTTACTGTGTGTAGTACCGTATTTTCAGGAGTATATTGACCACAGTAGGTGTACTATTTCAGGCCTCAAATCCAAAAGCACGCGCTAAGCTGCGAAATGGAAAGTGCATGTACTTCGAAAAGTAGTGAAATGCATCCAACTATTGCGAAGTTGGCCACCTCTGACCCTGAGCAAACCATATATGGCTGTGCATTTCTAGTGTCTACTGCCAGCTACACTGCTAATGCATGGTGGGTACGAGACTCCAGTGGTGGCATGGCCTTTATACAAAATTTAAATGTAAAATTGTCGCAATAGTACCGTCTCTATTATCGACAATGCTCTCAAATCCCGGCAGCGCAGTATAGTCTGGATACACCTTGAATTGCTATAACGTGTGTCAAAAATAGGGGTGCAATTTAAAACTCGGATGTTGAGCCAATAATAAATGTAGAAAGGAAAAGTGTTGTGCCTAGTTGTTGCACTTTCTGACTGTATATAGTATCTGGTTACAGTGATGGATCTTTACTCTTAACTCGTATCTATAATGTCCTTTTCCTTTCTACATTTAAAAATAGGGGTGTGCATTATACCCAGGTGCTCGCTATACTCTGGCAAATACGGTAAATTGTCTCCTAGCCCCCGAGGGAACACACTGTGGCCACATACACCTGAGAAATCCTATTGACAGATGCAGCGACTAACCGTGGGGGTGACAGAATAAGTCTCACAGCCATGTGCACAAGTGCCGAAATCCCCATTAGCCACATCCGTGTACCCCTTGCATCTGGCCACACAAGTTCCCAGTTGACTGTGGGTAGCAGCACAGCTGCAAAAACCGCTACCAGGAAGGACTGGGACCAGGTACCTCTCGTTTTCCATTCATGGTCCTGGACCCACCCACTTTGCCTACTTGGTTTGGTGTGAAATAGATTAGTGAATGGAGCCAGTGGTATGCACTTGATTGTTGTAATCTTATTGCACTGTTTATCTCAGTGTGTATTTCTTCGTGAGCCTTCATGCGTCTTTCTCGGTGTTGTGGTGAATGTCATTTTATTGCCTTTAACTTATAGGTCAAAATACACGAAACACCCAGTAGATAGGATGAAGTAGCCTGATTGTGGTGCTTATGCCAGTGTGTCTTGTTTTTCTTGCTTTCATGCTTCTTTTTCGTTGTCTTGACGGATGTCACAAAACTTGATAGCGATCCTGGATTATTGCCCAAGTACGATTACGGTAAACCATGGAAAAGTAACCATCTACCAGGCCACCGTTTACCGCTATGCATGGGTTACCTGTAACTATGGATACCTGCCACAGAAACACACGCCAATGACATGCAGTGAGCACAATGCTACCAACGGCAAGTGGGATAATCTGGTGCGGTGCGATGGTGAGTATTAGACTACTTGTTTACTATGTTGATTCATGTGGTGGTAAAACTCACACCTGTTAACTAGGCTTGTTTAAAGGATTGGGACATTTGGCGTTTGATCAGATGGTCTTGAAGTACAGGCTCAAATGATGACTAACATGTCAAAAATCCTTATTCAAGTGAGATGCTGATTTTAATTTGGCAGTCTGGTGTGCTTGGTGCTGTGTTGCTGGTGTGTTTGGATAGCTGTCTATTTCCAAGCCATCTATGTGAGGTAAATCTCGCTTTAATATCTCTTATTGGCCACAGGCCACCATGAGAATAAAACACGACATCAAATGGCCCACTCTCTTCTCCCGTTTAAAAGTGAACACATAGCGTTCGCTCACTGATTCGCCACGAATATGCCCAGCCTCATATTCTGATGCTTGCGACCCCTACAGTCTGTTTCAAAAAGATTAGCAATCAAGTTTGGGTCCTAGAAAGTATGAAGATAAGGGAAATTTGACAACAAAGTACATAAAATGGCTTGATTTGTTATCAAAACCCACGATTTATCCTTTCCTTTTTGGCCTTGTGGTTATGAAT